AACACCTTAGTCTCAGCCCTATTCTCTGCTTCAGAGAGCTTCACCACAGGATTTTTCTGCCCCTTTGTCTCTGGGGAAGCTGGAACAGACTAGCTTAAGTAGAGACAGTTTTAGGTCAACTCTAAACACTTATGCATCTAATGTCAGGAAGAAGAAGTCATACATGCTCAAAAGTTAAAATAAGTGCACCAGATTCTTATGTAATTTCTCACCAGTTGAGAAGAAAGCACTTTTTAAAAAGAGTTACATTTTCCTCAGTGTAAAGACGAGACTCAGTCACAGTGGAAAACTACTGTTTTTCTGAGGTTATCTAGCAAAGAATGTTCAGTCCTGAAACGTATGCTGCTTCTGGAACTTTGTAGGGTTTAGAAAATGAAGCAATTGCCATGTGACCAACTAGAGAATCATAAAGCTAAGACAGAACCCAATGCAATCTTAGGTATGGCAACAAATGCCAGAGGTTCTTCTATGAGGCATCTTCCCACAGAACAGGATTTTTACAAAATGCTGTACTGTAGAGTCTCTTTCAGTGAACATACTTGGATTGAATGACGAGGAAAAAAGCAAGTTAACTTTGCCAAGCAAATAATGAGAGTGACTGTGCATCTTATATAACAGATGAAAAGAAACAGCTCCTAACAGAATGTTTAGGTGTACAAATGATAATTATTAATAAAAATGTTTTCCTACACCGTCATTGAGAACAGAAAATAAAATGAGATTTAAAAGAAAACAAATGCTGCCGCCTAGGGAGCAAGGTGGAAATCCACAATGTTAAGCCCTTCCTTCTATCTTGTCTCCCACAGGATTCAGACCGTGGCTCCCCCAGTTAGACCTCTCCCTTCTGCTCCCACTGACTTTCTGTGCCACCCAGGATAAACATTGCACCATTATACGGGTACAGGCTAACACTACACTGGTGCCTAAGAGGAAAAGAGAAACCTCTCCTGGGTGACTATTAATGCCCAGCACCTTTGGATAGGTGTTGTGGGGAATGGTCTTAGCTTTCAAGGGAAAACAGATAATTCTGCCTTGGTTTAGTGGAAAAGTTAATGCCACCTGCTCCAAAGAGATCTGGTTACCAAGACTGGGAGGGTTGCTAGTGCAATGTGGCTATGGCCTCAGTGCTTGGGTGCTTCAACATGCTCTGAGCCTGCCTGATCATCTTCCCCTCCAAGTAACACACTTCCAGAATCCAGTGACTCCAGAAATGGGAAGGATGAAAGCATAGTCTGCCTTCAAAAGCCTCCTTGCTGGGTGACTTCCCTGAGCAGCAGAGACTATGGCTGCCAGCAGTGAAAACATTCTTGCATCCAAAGAGGCAGCTGAGTGAAAGTTTTGGGAACAACTAGATTGTTGTCCACATTTTGGGCAATCAGAGCATGTAGAAGTCGTCAGTGTTGACACACTGTAGCCACTGATGCAAGACCCACAGGCTGTCTTTACCTCTTTGCCACTTAATTTTGCTGCTCCAGCACGATATCATCTATATGATACTTCACCTGTGTGTAAAATGAACATCTAAGAGCACCACTGAAGGCAGTTGAATTAAATCACAAGAGAGAGGACTCTTCGTACAAGTCAGCCTTGTCCTAAGGCCTCATAGGAAGCCTTAGGGTCCTCCTCTAGAAGTGTGAATCCGACTCTTCATGTGAGTAAGACCAGTATTGTCCCAAACATAATGCACAATTTTAGCTTAAAACAAAAATTTAAGCCCATCACATAGAAATTCACCATCTTTTTGAGCTATAAAACTTCATAAACACTCAAATGGAGTACATCACTGTTTTTTTTCTGAGTTTGAAAACAGGATATTTTTCTTGAGTGAAGATTAAGATATGATATATGATGAAGCCTCTCTAATGTTGTCCCATATGCACAAAAAAATTCTGATTGAAAACAAAAATTAAGACTACCATACTGAAATTCTGAGACATCAACTTTTGAATCTATATAAGTTTGTACATGCCAAACTGAAGTGCAATGCTGGTTTGGTTGGAGTTGTTTGTTTGCTTTAAATTGGGAAAGCACAGAAGTGGTGCTGTGCATTCCTCTCTGGAAGGATCCAGCTGACAGCACCAAGAGTAATTTATTTTTCTACATTTTAGTTTCCATCAATGCAAAGCACATCAAGAGGATGATGCTACATAAAGCAAGACTATAACTTTATGATAAAATGCACTGTAAGAAATGTCAAAACATTACTTTAAAATGTGTGAAATTCTCATCAAGAATATTTCAGACCATCATAAGGAAACTTCTTGCTTAGTCTTCGTAGACAATATTGCAGAAGTTACTATGAATTGGTGTTCACCTCCAAAGACTAATGTGCCTGAGACATTCCCAAGCACAGGAACCATTCCACACACCTTCCCTGCAGATCTCTACTGAATGAGAGGTATCTTGTCTTGTGTATGACTAGAAAGAAGTAGAATCCATGACATACACCTGCACTACTTCTTCACGAATCTTGGTATCAAAAATTACCTGTTGAAATTGCTAGAACTTTTTAATGAACAGAAAATGAAGTACAGATGTTGGGAACAGATTTGTGGAGTATTTACATGCAGTGCTGAAACTTTTTGAATATACAGAAAAATAGGAAGATTTAAAGTCACCTTTAAGGTTATATCTTAAACATTCATATGCTGGAAGCAGTGCTCTAGTGTGATTACAGTTGTCAGTCTGTATGTTATTTTTCATGTGTACTTTTTTCATTTAGTATTATTTACAAAACCAGATATTTCTGAAGAGTTTTGGGAAAAAACAAAACAACAAAAAAAAGCAATGCTATGCACACTTTTGTCAAATACTGAAGGAACATTTCTACCACTAAAAAGACTGGAGTTGCTGAAGTTCCTTTGTGAGCACCATTAGTTATCAAAATACAAATACAAGAAGAAACATTATTACCATCCACTTGTAAATTGATAGCATAGCACACAACTGCTTTGGCACTTGGCATAGTTTGAAAAAGTGAAAATTTCCAGATCTGGAGCTGGGAGCACACAGAAACTTTCTCAAATGGATTTGCCACTACTAGAGAAATTGATTTTTCCATCTGCAAGGAATATGTTGTTGGAGGCACTGGGCATCTTTCTTTTCCACCCACATATTCATGTCTGCACGATTGCTTTATCCTGAACTTCCAGCCCTCTGATTGTGCCACATATGACATCCCTCAGTCAGTGATTAGTGTTTGCATGAAAAAAATTAAAGCAGACATGTACTGGAAGGAGTGCTTTGACCCTTTAAATGAACTATAAGACTAAAGTATTGTGGATTTTCAAAAGCAAAGTCACTGACCTGTAAATGTTCCTCCGGCATGAAGAGTGCTGCACATCTGTGCCTGTGCTTCTGCTGTCCAGGAAAACCTGACGAAGCCATTGTCTAGGGCCACAGCTAGAACAGGTGCCACTTGGCTTGGATCAAAAGGTATCTTTTGCCATCTGTATTTGTGTGTGTGTGTGTATACGTATATATATATATATATTAGAATCACAGAATGGTTTGCATTGGAAGGGACCTTGAAGATCATCCAGTTCAAATACCTTGCATGCGCAGGAACACCTCCCACTAGACCAGGTTGCTCAGAGCCCCATCCAACCTGGTCTTGAATGCTTACAGGGAGGGGGCAGCCACAGCTCCCCTGGGCAACCTGTTCCAGTGCCTCACCACCCTCACAGGAAAGAATTTCTTCCTAATGCCTAATCTAAATCTCCCCTCTTCTATCTTAAAATCATTACCCCTTATCCTATCACTACACATCCTGGCAAGAAGTCCATCCCCAGCTTTCCTGTAGGCCCCCTTCAGGCACTGGAAGGCCGCTATTAGGTCCCCCTGGAGCCTTCTCCTCTCCAGGCTGAACAGCCCCAACTTTCTCAGTCTGTCTTCATAGGAGGTGCTCCAGCCCTCGGATCATCCTCATGGCCCTTCTCTGGACTCCCTCCAAGAGCTCCATGTCCTTCCTTTGTTGAGGGCTCCAGAAGTGGACACAGTACTCCAGGTGGGGTCTCACAGTAGTCGAGAAGAGAGTGGAAAATCACCTCCCTGGTTCTCCTGCTTCTTTTGATGCAGACCAGGACACAGTTGGCTTTCTGGGCACATTACTGTGCATGTGCAAGTGCACATTACTGGTCATGTTGAGCTTTTCATCGACCAACATCCCCAGGTCCTCCTCAAGGCTGTTCTCAATCTATTCTCCACCCTGCCTGCATTTGTGCTTGGCATTGCCCTAGCCCAGGTGCAGGACTTTGCACTTGGCTTTATTGAACTTCACGAGGTTGGCATGGGCCCACCTGTCCAGCCTGTCAAGGTCCCTCTGGATGGCATCCCTTCCCTCTTGGGTGTCAACCTCACCACACAGTTTGGTGACACTCGATTCCACTGTCCATGTCACTGATAAAGATGTTAAACAGTACTGGTCCTGGTACCAAGATACACACACACACACACATATAAGCATGTATGTATATATAAATCTGTATAATTGCCATCTGTATATTAGCAATGCACCATAAGGCAACCCAAAGACAATTTCAAGCGACATGCAGAAAACACAGATGTTTAGCAGAAAAGAAGGTCAGAAACGTAACGAAGTCTATGTACCCATGTGCATGACAAGTGGGTGAAGGACAGGACAAAACCCCAGTACTGCCAGCATTGCCTGCAGCAGAGGTGCTGGGGCCTTCTTGTTCTCTGGTGCTGCTGTGGGAGTGGTGCTGCTACCACTCAGTTCCTCTTCCAAACAAGTGACTGGTATGCAGTCAGGACATCTGTTTCTTACCCTGTGATCTGTCTTGCATGAGAAAATAAATCAGGGTTCAGGTTTAGGAGTACCATGGCCATGTTTCTAAACACTGGTTTTAATAAAGAAACAGTATTTTGTTTAACCAAGCACAATTTTTTACTAAGCAAGCTACACAGAAGGAACATTTAAGGCATTGTTTCCATTTGGACTGTGTCCCTTTCATTTTCTTGAGAAGTGGCCATCTGCCATATCAGCATATTCCCCTCCTGAAAATTTGGACATTCTTGCCATTTTCACTGCAAGCACAAGAAAAACATTTTAGAAGAGAAGCACTATACTTGAATTTAATAGAGACATTTTATAAAGTGGACTCTCCTGTGTCTTTCCATGTGTTCAATTAAATGCAGCAATGTGTTTAGTCACATCACTTACAGCAAACAGTACTGCAAATTAATTGTGATGCAAATAAATATTACACACACAGAGTAGCTTACCAGAGATAGCCTCATGTCAGGCTTTGATACCAACAAAAATGTGATAAAGCCACCTGCAAATCTGAGAAGTGTCAAACCACATGACAAGTCTCGCAGTGAGGTCTGAAGTCTCCACTACAAAGCACTGATGCAAGTCAAACTTCACAGTTCCTAAAGTGGCAATCAGTTTTAATGCTTACTAAATTTCCTCCTTTCACATGGGAATTTAGTGGGCAGGGTATGCATCGTGATGCATCTCTGCATCCTAAGTGTCACTAAAATCTGATTGTGTGGTTCTCTGGAGCTTGGAATCTTCTATAAGGAAATTTTAGCCAAGCCTCCCTTAGTTTGGGAACATAAGATGTCTTTGTGGAAGTCTCATACATGGTATGCTGAGGTGTTCTATTTACAAATCTCAGTTTACCAAGCAAGTTCAGATACAAAAAGAAAGTGATAGATTACAAACTGCCCTAGATCTTCAGTTTGCTTCCCTGTCTTAATAGACTCAAGCTGTTCTACCCCTAATGAAATTCAAGTGGCTTATGATTACCCAGAAGCAGGGACAGTCTGTACCAATAGTTGTATCAGGGATCTTGTAACCAGAAGGTAGTGAGGCAGATTAGGACTATGAAAGGAAAAATCAAGTCCAGGGGATGTAAACCACATGTAAAGATGTGAGGAAAAGTTCTGGCTGAAGGACAGCCCTCATGCTGAACCCTGCAGAATCAGCTCAAGCTGCTCTGTTTCCAAAGAGGTGCTTGTAATGCTGCCAGGCCAGGCTTAAATTAAGATCAGCTGTTGTCATGCTGCTGCACACTCAGTGTGGAAGACACCTGGGATTTGAGCACCCACTTGAGTATGGATTAGATCTAAGCTTTTTATTTGGAAAAAAAAAAAAAGAGAAGGACCAGCTTTTATCTTAGAGTTAATGGGCAGCACTGCAGAACCAGGATGGGCAGGGTTTGTGCTGTGCTTGCTATCATGGACCAGCCACGGCAACCTCTCCTGCAGTACTCTTGTTCTCTTGATGCCCATGGGGCTCTCCAGGTGCCCACACAGTCTTGCATGGATAAAAAAGCCCATGGATGGTACCGTCTTCACCATCATGAAGTACAACTCCCTTTAAAAAGTCCTTTAATGGGCTTAAACACGGGCTGTAAGTGACCTTTAAGTTGGCTGTTGAGAATCACCTAAGTTAATTTAGAACTGAGTGTTTTGTAATTCACTATGGGATATGCCCATGTATCTGTTTCTACATCACCCCATTATGCTGTTTATCTCAGCAACTACTGGTTGTGCAGCTTGTTAAGAAGCACCGAAAGATCTCAGTGTTCTCATCTTCTAAGGAGTGTGACGAACTGTACCTTAGACTCCTTGAAGTGAAATGACCATTGCTTATGACTATGAACCATTTTTCAAAGCTGTTATTCTTCCAATAAGACTGTTTTATCCTTGTTGTGTTCATGCCAAGCCAAACACTTTAGAACAACTCCAAACTGAACTAGAAAGTCACCGAGTACACCAAATACTGAATTATTAATGAAAAAAAGAGTAGAATATAACCACCCCGTGTCCCTTCAGACCAAAATACGTTTCTGAGCATGTAAGAAAACAGCAAAAAAGATCATTAAGATAAAAATCTATATTGTGTGTGTAACTGGATTAAACCCCGTGTTTCACACAGAACATGTACAAAACAAGCCCCATCATGACTTACTTAAGGAACTAAGTGGAAATAAACAGCAGGTTTGCCTAGAGAACCCTTTGTGCTATATTCAGGAATCTACCATGCACCCATCTGGAATTGAGGGATCATGCCTAAAAAATGAAACATCCTAGAAATGTAAAGTGTCATATAGGCTGGATCTCAAAAAGTCATTATTATGCTCTGAGAGCAAATATACTGCTTAGGTTGTGAGACACTCTCCTGCTTATACCTCCTTGACATAGATTTGCTGTCTCTATGTGTGTGATACTTAGCACTTCTCTTTGACTTCGTGTACTGCTTTCAGGCCATCGATCCAGATCTCTGGAAATTTTTATAGCCCTGCACAGACTGTTGTATCTCCTGTGATTTTGCAATTTTGACTGTCTTGTTTCTGATATCAAATTAATTACAAAACCACTGAATTATATACTACACCTAAAGGAAAACTTGGTAGCTCTTTACAGTTTTACTGCAAAATGCTGATTACTGCTTTTAAACAACAGCATTTCAAACTGCTGTGACTTCATCCTTTAGCAATCTCAGCTGAATAACAATAACAATTTGTCTGCTTATGTGAATGTCAAGAGGAGCGATGCAAAATGCCTTATTTATGTAATGGAGCAACACTTTGTCTTCCTCCTATCTGCTAGACCACTTATCTTGCCAAAAAACTAAATCTCACAGATTTTATCAGATTATTTCTGACAAATCCATGTCAGCTCTGCTTACTAGCATTCCTACCTCTGGCTGTCTACAAGTGAACTGCTTAATAACTTATTTCAACATCATTCTAGGCAGCAAAGGTGGGTAAGGTCCTAATATGCAACATGCCAGCAACTTTTTTCTCCCCTTTTCACAGATTGTACCGTGTGTGCCCTTTGACTCCTTGTTTGTTGGGGGTTTTTTGATTATTTTCCCCAAGCTGTAGATTTATCAATTGTCTTTGCACTTTGTTGTTTGCTTGAATAGTTTGTGCTGTAGTCTGGTGAAAATGCTGCCAAATTCTGCAGACTTGCATACCTTTAAACACACCTTGATACGTTCAGGCACTTTCTTTAAAATATTTTTCCTTAAGTGTCCTTTGACACCTTTGTCACTTTCCTTATTCTGGCCTATGTTCCCTCTATCTTGGTAATCTGAATTTTGTAAATGATCATAATTAATTTTCCCTTGCCCCGAAGTCAGAAGCATATTTCAGCCTTCCCTTTCTTGACATTGATCTATTTGTAATTTTGTAAATGCCCATCACTGCTGTTCTGCTACTCTCATTTCTTCCCTCTGCTGAAAACAGAAATTCTGATATTTCAATTGGATAAATTCCTTTCACCATTAAATTCGATTAATAAGCAGTTCCTGCCTGTTTGTACCAAGGGGATGCTCTATAGAGGTTTCCTGTCAATCGTAACGGGGGTAACAATACTCATTAAACACTGATTTTCTAGGTTTTCTATGTTTACAAAAATGATTGAATACCCTCTCTCAAATACTAGAGAACTTTTTAAATATTTTTTTTTTAAATAATCTGAATGGCAAAAGAGTATTTCCTTCTAACATTTGTCATTCTTACTCTTCTCTGTGAAAGGAAGTACAGGAGATTGGATGCTTACAGGAGTAAGCACTTTGAAGTAAAAGCTGCATATTGGGTGGGATCTTTCACATTGTCTGATGGAGGGTGTGGAAGAGCCTGACATTACACTTCATGTGGCACTGTATGAACATGGCAGGCAACCCTCCTCTGAGATGCTTGTCCTTGAGGATTACAGAAGGGAATATTCAGTATTCCCAGCTGACTGCATCCAGTGTAAGCCACCGACAGGTACCATGACAAAGCTGTTGCAAGGGACTGACAGTTGAGGGGACTCTGCTGAAACTGCCATTTAACTGTGAGGGATGCAGAGCCAGTAACCGGTCAGTTAACTAGGACGTCGGGGTTATTATTTTGCTTACATACAGGAAAGAAGAGAAGGTTAGGATGACAGTGAAGTGGCTACCTGTTGGAGAGGCAGAGCACACACTCGTTGGAGTAGGTCTCTCCGTCCGTCCCGCAGACCGGATTGTAGTCCCTGGGACACCCGTGCACACCGTACCTGTAGCAGGCGGGCTGGGGGACACAGGCACAGAACAAGTCTGAGACACGTCATTGAAACAGGTCTCTGCTCAGCTGCTGATCTGAGCGCTTCTGGAGAACCCCGGCAGGCTGGGGCACCGCGGGCAGCGCCCGGCAGGGGCTGCTCGGCCTCCCGGAGCGCTGCTGCCTTCCGACGGCTGAGCGCCCGTGGGGCGCACGGGCAGCGAGCTCCCGGGAACGGCACCTGCAGGCCGAGCGGGCAAGAGACGGGGTCCCCAGGGCATGTAGGGCATGTAGGGCGTGTAGGGCATGTAGGGCATGTAGGGCATGTGCGCTGCCGGCCCCGGGAGCCAGGGGGCCGGGGTCCCGCGGCTGCGGGGGGGGCCCGCGCTCAGCCCCGGGGCT